CCGCCTCGGCCAACTTGCCTTGATTTAGATAGAGGAGACCTAGGTTGTGAACAGTGTCGAGTGTTGACGTGTGATCTGGTCCAAGTGCCTCCTCGCAACCTTGCAGAGCACGTATATACATCTTCTCCGCCTCGGCCAACTTGCCTTGATTTAGATAGAGGAGACCTAGGTTGTGAACGGTGATGAGTGTTGACGTGTGATCTGGTCCAAGTGCCTTCTCCTTGCCTTGCAGCGCTCGCAGAAATATGTTCTCCGCCTCGGCCAGCTTATCTTGGTCGCAGTACATTGCGCCCAAAGAGTCAATAGCCCACTCCAGTCCCTCTGTACGAACCTTGTCGCCCACGATGAAGTGGCCCTGTCGCGTCGCATGCTGTAGGAGTCGCCGATGCAAAAGCCACCAATCCCTCGCGTTACTGTTGGGAATTTCTGAAGCCACACAAGTCAAAGCTAGCCTGGCCAAACCCTGGTTCCACTTCTGGTTAAGCACAGAGACTGTCCATGAGTGTACACAGCTATGCATACTATACCTTCTAGCTCCAAGCGGGAGCGAAAGAGATTGGTCTATATCGACCAGTCCGAAGCTGCACAGAAGGGTAACCGCCTCATTGAAGTTCAGTTCGTCCTTGGCTAGCTTCCGTATCCATTCGTCGTCTGCGGAACTGGCGTGTCGAAGAAGTTCGAACCATATATCTTGTCTGTCAAAATATGCCCACCACTGAAGTAGTTTAGCAGCAGCAGCATTCTGGCGTTCGATCCGGACGAACGTGATCTGCCATGTCGTGCAAAGTGATCGATCCTCATAAGAACTGAGTTGAGGGCTCGTCTTTTGCAGCTTTAACCACGACGCTTGATGAAGCCGAAGATAATCTGAGAAATCTGTGGTCACATGTTGAAGATATGCCCCGGCGGCAGAAAGAGCCAGGGGGAGGCCGTCAAGTTCTTTAACTAGCGCTATGGCGCCACGGTCTGTTTTCATAAGCGCTACTACAACATCATAATTTCGTGTTGAGGATCACCTACCGTTTTGGATGCTTCCTCGTTTAGACGTATTGGAAAGGATCTCTAGACCTTCCTGAACCTTCTGCAACTTTTGAATATGGATGCGATAACCCTGGCTTACTTGCGCCGATCGGGTGGTGATGATGATGGAACCGTGATCTGCTCGGGGGAGAAAGTGGCGTATATCAACAGCAGAGGGGTCGAGATTACCAGCAGTCCGAGGGTTGTCATAATTATCATAGACCATCAGCCAGCGCGTATTTGTCTTTAGACTGAGCCAATTGTTGACTGCCGAGACCACTTGATCGAGGTTTCCGTCCAGGTCCACGTTGGTGAGTGCAGCAACGGAAAGACTGCCTCCCTGGTCTTCAAGTATACGTTGGGCGACGTATCGAAAACTCAGCTTGAGAGAACCCTCGTCGTTAGCATTTAACCAGAAGATTGCTGTGTATCTCTCCCTATGCTGTGTGATGTATTTGATGGCCAGCTGAGTTTTCCCGATCCCTCCGAGGCCGTGAAGAACGACAGCCGAGAGAGGATTGTGGCCATGTAACAAACGGCGCATCTCGGCAAGCTCGTTCTCTCGGGCGACGAATTGTGCCGCTTCGGGAATGGCCAAGCGGTCGAGCCCGACGACGAACTGATCAGAATCATGCCCTGGCGCGATTAGCTCCATTTGTCGATTGGTCGGAGCTTGAATCGAGAGCACCTACCTCGATAGATTTTGTCAATCTCGTCCTGAAGTCGCCTGTACGCCTTCTCCTGGCCTTCTCCATAGAGCAGCGACATCGAAACGTCGAAAATACCCAGCAAGCAATAGGCATGGTCTTCTTCCTCGGTAGTACGTCGACCTGAAGCCCAAGACATCCGCTCGTCACGGCTGAAGGTCTCCAAAGGCGCCCCTTTCAAAGCGGCACTAGGGATTCCGGTAATGTCATGAATGAAGTCCTGCAGCGTCAGCTTGCTCCCCAATCGGTCGCCTTCCAAACTAAAAAAGTCCACCTGTGCAGGCGCAAGGAGCTCCTGAAGGGTCCAACCTCGCGTGAACCATCGACTTTTCTTGAACGCCGCCTCCCAAGGAGAGGTGTCCAGTTGAGATGTGCCTTGGCCATCATGGAGCGATACATCTGTCAGATAGACATAACACCGAATGGCCTTCTGATACCAGCGAAACATAGAGTTGATAGCTCTAGAGAGCTCGCTACTATTCTTCTTGTCGATGCAGCAAGTGTCGATCCAGAAGTATCGAAGCCCATCGCCCGAAGCCTTGTCCGCGCAAAACTCAAGCATCTTCCAGCCAGCTTTTCTCTTCCCCGTACCTGCCACCACATCATGAAAGCTAATCTCTTCGTTATTGTCTGTTAACCAGGTATGGGAGAGGATGGCGTAAGCCGGGACGTCTCCCTTTGCGAATTCCTGAAAGCCAAATTCTCCGTTGGGTTTGCGCTCTAAGAGGCGCATCGTGGGGCATTAGGAGCGGACGGGACACGTTCTCGAGCAGACAATACTCGAAGAGCTCGCGCAGCACCGCAGGGCAAAATTGGTATCTCACGCATGGATGAAGTAACAAGCTGCTCACAGAAAAAGAACTCGCTCAAAGGCAGCGTTCGTGATGCGGCATCGTGGCGGAGCTTGCACATAATGCCACACCGCAGTCAGGCTGAATATTGCAAAATCAGCAGGCTGCTCTATACAGGCGAAGTCTGCGCAGCCGAACACTGGATAGAATATTCACGTGACCACAGCCATTTGAGGGCGAATGATTCGGCTGTATTGGCCAAGGACATGCCTCAGATGGACTTTCTGTGATTGACGCCAGTTCTGCACATTTCCTTACTGTATTTGCTGTTGCTGGTATTGCTGGTCGTCTGGAGGCAGTGATGTCTCTCTCTCGGTTGAGTTGCCTCGTCCATTGTTTCGCAGCGTCGCCCCCAAATAAAAAATCTCAAAAATTTGGTAACAGGAACTGTATGGGCGGGAGAAATTTTCCTGGCCACGAAAATTTCCATCTTTTCGTCTCCATTCTCCTAGGTACGGTTATTACTCCCCGATTGTTGACTGCTGCTGTACCAATCAATCTCTATCCATGGATACAGCCCTTGCTTCCGGCGTGACAGGTATGACAAGGTTTCATGACCCAAGCAAGGAACCAAAAAACGCTCCCACCATCAGTTCTGCAGCCATCTCATCCGCCTCCCGAGGATGGTGGATACTGTGACTGTTGAAAATACTGTAGGTTGTCCAAACCAGAAAGGTGAACGAGTTCTTCGTTCTTGACAAAGTCTCATTGATCCATGGACTCAACAGAGGCTGGCCGACAGACAGATGCGAACCGAGCCTCGCGAGGAGGATCGGCTCGAGCAAACCAACTTTTCAGCTCTGTGAAAGCGAAAGATCGCGACTCGTACTGGCACAAGTCCAAACAACGACCTTGGAACGGGGATTCTGTTCCGCCAGACCTCCGATCTCAATCTCTATCTTTGCTTGGGAAGTTCTGTTCCTCCTAAGGCAAACCGCGGACCGATCGTGGACCAGTGTCCCCCTCATCGCGTGCCACCCGAGTCCGATGGGTTTGTGCCTCTTTCCGTGTGCCACGCCGTCATAGCCTCAATTACCTCCGCATGATGTGCATTTTGCATATGCGTGGGCCCGAATGTGGTTTGTGCCCTGTCCATCAACAACCAATAACTATCGGGTTACATTCAAGCCTTCCGTGGAGTCTGGACCACATCCATAATTTTTTCCTGTTCTTTTACCAAATTTTTCCCAAGGTCAAGCATGGAGCACCCTGGTCAGAAGACGAGCTTCAAGGATCATGCCACATTTGGGCGAATGAAAAGCATATGACCAGAGTGCCACTGCAATGTACAGTGTTTTGGGCCAATTCGCCAAGACTATTACCCTCTCTGGCCTGGAACAGGTCCATACAGGTTTTCCTGGTGCTCTGACTCGCTGCGAGTCCGTCCTGCTTAGCTTCAGGATAGCCATCAACTATCCACAACCCGACCGGCCAACACCGAAAGGTACTCGTACCGTATCTCGTGGTCGGCCGTGTCAACTTTCGCCTCGTGCTCCTCGATGTGGCGTCGCGACCCATGGGGGATCCGTAACTCTCAAACATTGGCAAGGTTGGCCAATCTTCCAGTAAGTACCTGGGTATATATGACAGGCAGAGTCCCACACTTGTTCAAAATTGTCGATTTATAGATTTTCTGGAGAAGGCGTGTCTAAGGTGACCTTTCTTTGTTTTCTATCCCCAAGCACAACTTACTGCCTTAAGCGACATCCCCCAAGGCGACACATCAATACGGACAGTTCTCCCCTTGCGACAAAACCATGAGCGACAGCAGCAAGAAGCTAGAGATCGTCGACGGCGGGGTCGTCATAGCCAAGCGCTCTCCTAGTGACGACGTTAAACCTGGTTCCATCTCTGACAATGCCGACAAGCTCCAACGAAGACTCAACAACCGCCAGATCCAGCTCATCGCCATCGGCGGTTCGATAGGCACTGCCCTGTTCGTGAGTATCGGTGGAGGTCTCGCAAAAGGTGGTCCGCTCAGTTTGTTCCTCGCATACACCATCTACTCGTGCATGCTCGGCCTGGTCAACAACTGCATGGCCGAGATGGCCACACTGCACCCGGTCACTGGTGGTTTCATCCGAATGGCCGGTAAATGGGTAGATGACGCTTTTGGGTTCATGGCCGGCTGGAACTTCTTCTTCTACGAGGCACTTCTCATCCCGTTCGAAATCACTGCTCTCAACCTGGTCTTGTCGTTCTGGACTGATGCTATTCCTACCGCTGCCGTCTGCGCCGCTTGCATCGTGCTATACGCGTGAGAGTTGTCCCCCTAAGCGACTATCTGGAACAACGGTTGTCGATTTCATGTGTTTCCTAAATGCTAACCTATACTCTATAGCGCCATTAATATCCTCGCAGTCCGCGGATACGGAGAAGCCGAGTTCTGGCTGTCAGGAGGCAAAGTCATCCTGATCCTGATCCTGTTCTTTTTTACCTTCGTCACGATGGTGGGAGGGAACCCCAAGCACGACGCATACGGGTTCCGATACTGGAAGAACCCCGGACCCATGGCCGAGTACCACACCAAAGGCAGCCTGGGCCGTTTTGAAGGCTTCCTCGCAGCATTGTGGAACGCGTCCTTCGCAGTGGTCGGGCCCGAGTACATTGCCATGGTTGCCGCTGAAGCCAAGCGCCCACGCATCTACATCAAGAACGCCTTCAAGACCGTGTACTGGCGATTCGGCATCTTCTTCATCCTGGGCGCACTGTGCGTCGGTATCGTCGTGCCTTACAACGACCCTACCCTCGTGGCCATCCTGGACGGCACCCAAGGCGGTTCTGGCACTGCAGCAGCTTCGCCATATGTGATCGCCATGAGGAACATGGGAGTTTCGGTTCTCCCTCACATCACCAATGCGTTGATGATAACGTCCATCTTCTCCGCAGGCAACACGTACACATACTGTGCCACCCGAAACCTGTATGGTCTCGCCATCGAAGGCCGCGCGCCCAAGATCCTGACCCGATGCACGGGCAACGGCGTTCCGATCTTCGCCTTCGCCATCGTCATGTGCTTCCCGCTTCTATCGTTCCTGCAGGTCTCGAGCGGGTCGTCACAGGTCCTCACCTGGCTCGTCAACCTGATCACCGCTGGCGGCATCATCGACTACATCGTCATGTGTGTGACGTACTTGTTCTTCTACAACGCATGCAAGGCCCAGGGCATTGACCGCAATTCGTTCCCCTACACGGGTTGGTTCCAGCCGTATTGCGGATACATCGGCCTGGCGTGGATGTGCATGATCGTCATCTTTTACGGATACTCGTCCTTCACACCCTGGGATGTCGGCACTTTTTTCAGCTTCTACACCATGGTCATTGTCGCCCCGGTCTTGTTTGTAGGCTGGAAGGTCATCAAGAGGACTAGACTTGTGGGTGCGCGTGAGGCGGATCTCGTCTGGGAGCGACCAGTCGTTGATGCCTACGAGGCGTCGTTCGTCACCCCTCCTGCTGGATTCTGGACCGAGATATTGCAGCTCGTCGGTCTCAGACGGGACAAAAAGGATGTTAGACGCGAGTGTATTTGAGAGGTTGGAGGTGGGGGGTCGGAGTCGGGTACTCCTTCCTTACCTGTTGATACGATTGACGATAGCTTCGTGAAGGCTATAGTTGCACAGATGAACGACATCTGGATCTTCTTATTCTTTTTCGCCGTCTGGGTTTGTGATTCTGGACTTGTTCGATCACAAGTCCAGCTGGATTTTGCGTGTATCCAGACAAGATATTCTCTTGTCATTCTTATCATTCTATGAGACTAGCCTACATATACCCTGAGATGAACCAATTATGATGTCTGCCTTTTCTTTCTCCATTTTGCATCCAAACATTCAAGTCCTAGAAGTCAATGGCAGACGGACAATCGGCCGGCCAATGGTGCGTCCTTGATACTTTCAGAGATAGTACCCGCGGAAGTCTGGTTAGCAAACATCAATCCTCCAAATCATAAGCCAGAGTATCATCAACAGATCTTCAGCCTGATATCTTGAACTCTATATTCTATGCGAGAGATTCGGTCAGTCCAGGTCCTGGTTTGGGGTTGGAAGCGTGTAAATGTGCCAAGACCCCCCTTTCCCCTACCTGGTCAGTTTATGACAAAGGAGGAAAAGGGGTTATACGAGTTCGTTGTGCATAGTGTGAGGAAAGTTGAAAATGAATGAAAGTCCGGTCTCTCTATGCTCATTGTAGAACCGTCTCCTACCATGATGGTTTCTCCCGAAACATGAGACCTGGCGCGACTGGCCAGAAAGGCCTAGGAACAAGGAGGACGCTGTTGATGGGTCGGACAGGACATGCCCACTCAGGTTGTAGGAAGGACAGAGAATCGATACAAAGACCTGGCACGCGTGTTACGCAAGGGAAAGTGGTCGTGCTTGCTTAAGAGGAGGAATACGACATCGGATCTGAGAGATCGTGGCGGGTGATAAAGTAGTAACTTCACGAGCCGCATGAGCATAGAGGGATGGGACTGAGCGACCATATCAAGCCACGTTCCGATAAGTGAGGTTCTCCTGATGCCTGTGTACCCCGGACCTGCAGATCCCACGCGTCTGTCACAGTTGACCTGAACAGGGCTGAGTCTCTTGTTAGGCGGAGTCTCAGTTAAAATCGCTTCACTTCGTGCTTGGTCCTGGGTCTGTTGCTTTGTTTGATATCACTCTCTCAAACAATACTTTGACCTAAGACAGAGTACAGATGGTGGGATGAGATGAGGAGAAACGACAAAGTGAGCCGTTGTTCCGGCTTCCCTGGGCCCGTCATTCTTTGTGGTTGGTGAATGAACGGTTGATTGTCACCCGTTAGAGGGTCGGGGTGCTATGAGTCTATATAGGCGTAAGGAACGTCTCAACCCTAAGATGGCTGAGTGTCCAGCCTATATATATAGTGAGCACTCCTCTCTGCCCTATGTCTACCCCAGATACTCACAGGACCGAGTTCTTTGCTGAGATTGGGCCATTTTCCACGACCTGGAGACCGTCACCTGTCTCTCACACTCATTTCACATTCGACGCAAGGCCAGTGAAGTGCCTCCTCGATCGATATCGGCTTGAATCGCGACCGCCAAGGCGAGCGTTCCAGACGTCGCAGGGTGTTTCGCGCACGAAGACCCTTTGGAACACCTAAAAAACAACTTTCTTCGCGCCGATCTCAATTCGCGACAACCTGAAAGCTTTCACATCGCCAACATGGCTTCTCGCAGCGACCATCCCCCCTTGGACATCGCCATGGACACCGATCCCTCTCTGGGCCAATCCGTTGCGTACGAGTTGTCACACATGCCGCATCTCTCAATGACCTTTCGCGCATGGCAGAAGCTGAAGAGCTGTTACGGTCGACCCATTGAGATCAACGGGTATAACTTGGACATCGCCAGTCTGGTAGCAGTGGCAAAGTAAGTGACTCACAAGCGTGGCATTTGCAGAGACTCACACAAGTCCTTCAGAGAAGGTGAATTACCATACCTCGAGCAGAGTGCAGAGCTTTTTCAGCGGCTGGATGAAAGTCAACGTATCTTGCAAGAGAATCTGGTGGCCGGAAACCAGATATATGGTACGTCCAACTTCTTTGCCTTGAAACTGTACGTGTCTTGTTGACATGCTGCCCCAGGCGTCAATACAGGTTTCGGAGGAAATGCCGACTTGAGAACTCATAACCTCATTGACCTTCAACGAGCTCTAACACAGCATCAACATTCGGGCATTCTGATCATGGACGACCCCGAATTGCAACCCTACGTTGACAGAGAACTCAATCCACACTCAATGCCGTCAAGCTGGGTGAGAGGTTCAATGCTCGTACGATGCAACACCAATCTCAGAGGACACAGTGCAGTCAGTCTCAAAACCATTGACACCATGATGGAATTCATCCGCAGAGATTTCATACCCATTGTGCCCTTGAGAGGATCAATCTCGGCCTCGGGTGACCTCATGCCGCTGTCGTACATCGCTGGAGCATTGCAGGGAAATCCTGATATTTTATTGCGCTGTGGAGGAGACGAAGTCACAATCATGAATTCTCAAGAAGCATTTGCAAAGTTGCGTCGGCTCCACCTGGAAGAAGGCAATGGCTCTTACGCGTATCACTATTCCCCTCTTATTCTGGAACCAAAGGAAGGGCTTGGTCTGGTCAACGGCACCGCACCTTCGGCAACAGTGGCTTCGCTGGCAATGTGGCAGGCGAACCAGCTTGCTGTTCTCTCACAGGTCATCAGCTGCCTGACATCTGAAGCACTTGGGGCCAATGCTGAATGGACACATCCTTTCATTGCAAAAGTTCGTCCGCACTCAGGTCAGACCGAGGTGGCCCGGAATATGAGGAAGCTCTTTGAGGGTTCAAAGCTTGTTCGTGGACTTGGTGATCACATCAATCGGGAACAAGAAGGTCTTGTCCAAGATCGCTACGCGACCCGGACATCACCACAGTGGATTGGTCCGCAGTTGGAGGATCTTGTACTGGCTACCCAGCAGCTGGTTTGTGAACTCAACTCAACGACAGATAATCCTATCATCGACAGCGAAACCCGAGAGGTTCGTTGTGGAGGAAACTTTCAGGCAACCTCGGTCACAATGGCGATGGAGAAAACCCGATTGTGCTTGCAGATGATTGGTAAAATGCTGTTTGCGCAGACCACTGAACTATTGAACCCAACGCTGAACAATGGATTGCCTCCCAACCTGACGCCAGACGACCCCAGTCTCTCGTACTGTCTGAAGGGCGTCGACATCAACATGGCAGCGTACCAGTCTGAGCTCGAATTCTTGACCAACTCAGTCAGCTCGCACGTGCAGACTGCGGAAATGAACAACCAGGCCATCAACTCGTTGGCCCTGATTTCAGCACGGTACACAATGGACAGCGTCGAATTGGTTTCCTTGATGACAGCCTCGGCAATCTTTGTGGGACTTCAAGGAGTCGACCTCAAAGTCATGCATAAACACCGCCTGGACTTGGATGAATCCTACGTCAAGGACATCACCTTTGAATGCTTTGGGGAGACAGCAATACTCTCTGAAGAGGCGTTGGAGGAGCTGCATCCGATCATGTGGCGCAAGGCCAGTGAAGCATGGTATGCGAGCGCCAAGTCTGATGCCAGCGATCGAGCATCCGCCATGGCAGCAGCAGCGGTCGAAGCTGTCATGGGCTACATGATGACACACGAGTTGAACTCCACGCCAAGTGCACGCCAGTTGCTGCAGGAAACCAATATCTTCCAGGAACGACTTCATGAGAGCATGTTGACTTCATTCGTGAAGTACCGAACCGAGTTCACCAAGTCTCCCAGGACAGTTGGATACTTGGGCCGTGGAGCGGCAGCGCTCTACCAATACGTCAGAGAGGACTTGGGGGTGCCTTTCTATCGAGAGTTCCAAGAAGATCCACAAGATGGACACATTGTCGGCCGTACTGAAAAGACAGTTGGGTCGTACCTCTCGAGAATCTACCACACTGTGCGTCATGGAACACTGTTTGACGCATTGATGAAGTCACTGGAAGGACTCGTTGATGATGTGGAGTAGTCGGGCTACGTCCCATACTTTGCTGCCACGCCCACTCATCCTATTTTGGCAGTATCGACAGAGACTGATTGAACAGAGGTGATTGGAAAGGTGCCTTGGGGTGATTGGAAGACCCACGCTCAAAATTGAACGCCTTGTTCTGCCAGCAGCACAGTGAAGAAGTATCTTGGGGTGGCCTTGGACAAGATGACCGGAGGATGCAGCCGCTAAGGTGATTCTTGCAGCACCTAAGCTCTTATCAGATAGTGAAGCCCATAGATGGTTTCATAATGATCAGGACAAAGTCTTTGTATTTGTTTTTGCATTCTCCGAGGCAATGTCGCGATGAATCCCGCGGTAAAGCCAACAAAGACATAGTCGAGGCCTACGCCCGCTTGCGCCAATCGCGAATTGAAGCAGTAGATTCGTGGTGTTCGCGATCATAGATCTTGCACCACTAGCCTCTCATCTTCAAGTGGCGTCTGAATCGACTTACCACTGGCTGATCGTGTCAAAGAGACCTTGTATCCGGTGATCTCTACCGTCCCATAGCGTCCGTCTTTGCCTCTGTTCCTGAACACGATCTCATTGAACGGATTGCCATCATAAATCATCCAATCGATATCGCTGATGCAGAAATCGGACCAGACTTTGCCCTCGCGATTACTCTCGTCGGTGACGTTCATGACTGGAATGAATCTCCATAGCTCCCCATCTTGGTTTCCGTTTCCGTTTCCGTTGCTCTTGTTACGCCCGTGATGTTGGAATGTCGGTACAAGTTGCAACCCAAACAGGGTGGGTGGTGCCTGGAACGCAATCGGTAGGGCAGCTAGTACATCCGTCCCGTTCGATGTCCACCTGTCGATTCGTAGACCTTGATCGACCGTGTATTTGAGATCAAGGGAGGAATTTAACCCCGACGAGCCAGGGGCCACGTATTTCCCAACGTATACATGCTCTATCTGGGCTTGGACAACCTTGTCCGCGGCCTGAATGAGAGGCACAGTCACCTGCTCGCGTAGTAGGGCAAGTAAAGATGTATCACCGCCCGTGAAGATCGTGATTCCGAGATCGTACTCGGGAACGACTATGACGTTGGTGATGTACCCTGGCAATCCACCTCCTTTTGTGTAGAAAGTTACAGTGCGCGGTGTCCCGGTATTGTCCCGAGCTTCGTTTTCTTCGCCGTAGTTATTTGCGAGAATCTTATGGGTACGGAATATCTCCCATGGCATACCGTAGAAGGAAGACATGCCCGCCGTGAACGACGCGGGATGGAGCCAGTTGACTGTGTGTGTGATAGAACCATAGTGCGTGAGTACGTAGCGGAGAAACTTTGACATATCAGATGAAGAAGCGTACAGTCCGCCGGTCGGATTTTGGACGCCCTCGTCGATGTCCCAGTACCAACTTTCGTTCTTGGGGAGGACGGCACGCGAATCTGGCGGTCTATCGAAGGCTGAGCCACTCATACCCAACGGTTCTAGGATGGCAGTCTCGATATACTCTTCGTATGTTCTGCCCGTGACGTTGGCAATCACCATCCCCAACAGCTCGAACGCGATATTGGAGTATGTGGATTTCTGGTTTGGCGAAAACACAGGAGTGCTGGCACTCAAGTAGTCCAGCAGCTCGGTCTCGGTGCATGGTTTGTAGTCTGCATATGAGTCGCAGTGGGGGAGATTAGATGAGGTTGCTGATGGCAGACCAATCATTGAGGGAATGTCGAGTTCCCTGCTCAGATCGCTTTGGGCCCAGTCTCGTGGTATCCCACTTAGCTGGCTAGCGAGAGACCGTAGCGTGATGTCCCTCCATTGGATTGTTCCCTCCTGGCGGCGCTGCAGGTCTGTAAGGTATTTGTCGACGGGGTCGTCAAGACTCAGTTTTCCAGCCTCACTTTGCCGAAGGATCCCAAGAACCGTGAAGACCTTGGTGATGCTCGCGATGCGGTACGCGCTATCACCTGTAATAGCCTTTGCGCCTGGCCGGTCTTTGTTCTTGTCCTGGGCAGTGTGGAAGCTAGTCCACAGTGTTTTGTGAGAGGACGTTACTTCAATCGAGTACGAAGTGGTGTTGAACTTGGGATCGGAGATGGTTTCGAGGATCGCCGCCTCGATTCTAGTGAAAGCTTCAAGGAGTATTGGGGGTGCATTCTCGTAGTCTGGTAAAGAGAATGCTGGGCCTTGATAGCTACATCCGGCAGCAACAAGTCCTATCAGGCTTAGGAAAGCCAGGGATACAAATACTCTGAATTTGTGGTTCATTGTGGTTGGTCCTAGTTCCAGTTACAAGGGTTATGCCTTGGGCAAAGACCGTCGAAAGGCTCTCTTGAATCTGTCTAGCAGGTTCCTGTAGACTGGAAAAGAGACAACTGATGATTCTTGACACGAGGGGATCTTGTCGCTGACATACAGTAGCTTTCGACTCGATCAGGCAGAAAGGTTTCTTCTGTTTGGGGGCACTGGAACGAAGGTGGAGGGGATCGGCCCACTGTCCCTGACGGATCCCAACTCATCCGGTGCAGGCCTAGATCCGAGAGATGTCTTGAGAGAGCATCGGCTTCTTGACGTTGGCTTCGAGTCCGTTCAGACTCCACTAATAGGGCCCACGGTTGTACCTGGATGTCTTGAGTACGAAGTGTTGGGGGTGGCGCCGAGATGGTTAGATGGCTAAAGTGCAATGCTTCAACGTACTACGGTCACGGTCGACCATATATCTTAGTCCCGCACAACATCATTTCCTAGGTTGTTTCTTCTCACGTCACGTCTACCCGCATGTTCTTCTTGCGGCCATTTCAAGCGAAATAGGGGGGCCATTGAATGTGTAGAGGCTGAAGCCATGTCCATCAGACAGCTCAAGCCCACAATAGCTATGACAGATTCATAGGTGAGCTCAGCCAGGACATCTCTCTCACTCTGCCACCCTGTGGATATTGTCCTAGAGTACAGGGTTATGTAAGTCTGCAAAGGTCAGCATCCTACACATCGTCCGACATTCTGCACGCCCTGCCATCAGACACAACTCGTTTCGATGCATAAGACAGATCAAACCTTATATTTGGGGAAGCGGGGCGTCCACCCCCGGACGCGTCGGACGATGTCTCCTGCCGCCAACAACTGCCGAGTCAGCAAGTCAGCCATCCTTCTGTGATGCGGCGCTGGTTAAACGTTCACATATAAAGGTGTCCAGCCCGGCTCACTTTATCAGAAACCGAGTATCTTTGATCAGCGCGATTCACGCCGAAGCGGCTGAACTTTTCTTAACAATGGGCAGCGCTCCAGCTCAGTCCCGCTCCACTTCGACTTCACTTGGAAATCTCGAGGTCCAAGGCTTCGTCAATGAAAGCACGAGGGTTGCAAACTATCTCGGCATCCAGTATGCTACCATTCCAGCTAGGTTTCGCCAATCACAGCCTGTCGACCACCTAAATCAGTCCGGTACCCTGGACGCGACTCGTTATGGCCCAAGATGCCCACAGAATTTTAGGCCCCGAGGACTCCCAATATACGACGGACTACAGCAGGGAGAGGTGGCCGACGACGAATTTGGTTGTCTAAGACTCAATGTTTTCACTCCGACCGGGCCACAATCGAAGCCATTGCCTGTCCTGGTCTGGATACATGGTGGTGGGTTTGTTTTTGGAGACGGTGGTTGGGAGTATGACGGCAACAACCTAGTTCAACATGCAGTCGACATTGGTAAACCCATTGTGTACGTTTCACTGAACTATCGACTTGGCTACTTTGGGTTCTTATCTTCCAAAGAGTTGAAAGATGAAGCAATCAAGGATGGACAGACGCCTTATGCCAACATGGGTTTTTACGATCAGAGACTTGCGTTACTCTGGGTACGTGATGGCAGAAACCAACTATGGGTCTCGCACTAACATCCACTTGACAGGTGCAAAAGCACATATCAGCATTCGGTGGCGACGCCTCCAATGTGACCATCGCCGGCGAATCTGCTGGAGGACTCTCCGTCCTTGCTCAACTCCGATCAGATGTTCCGGTTTGCCAACGGGGAATAATACTCTCTAGCCCCAACCTCGACTATCCTCGTCCTGAAGAGTCTCAAGCAACGTTCGAGAAACTCGCCACCAGCACTGGCATTTCGAGCACTGCGTCTTCGGAAGAAAAGCTGGCAGCATTGAGATCATTAACCTCCGACGATATCGTCAAGCTCTTGGGCCGCTCTTTTGCAACTCCACGGTGGGATCCCGACTGGTTTGTCTATCAAGACGGTACCACAGCTACTGCTGGACCAGCTTCTCTGGGTCCATGGGTGAAGGGCGTGGTCACGGGCTCGACAAAAGATGAAGCAGCCGTGTTCCTTATCGGCATGGGTTGGCAAGCATGGAAATCCGAACAGTTCAAGGAGCAAGTAACATCGGTTGTACAAGACCAGAAAGATGCAACTGCGTTGACGAACGCGTATGGTATTGATCCGACCTCGCCTGCGGAAGTGAATCTGAGGGGCTTGATTGACATGGTGACGGATGCGAGCTTCTCAGCGCTCCCTTATATTGTCGCAGAGCAGTCGAGCGCAGCTCCTCCTATCAGCCTCTACCGATTCGACCAGCAAGATCCATTCTCGAAGAGTCCATTCTATGGCTTTGCATTTCACTCCCTCGACAATGCCTTCTTCTGCAGATATCCGGCACTCGCTGGACCCAGTGCAGCAGACGATGTCAAAGCAACCGTCGACCTATTCAATGGTGCCGTCCTAGATTTTACGTACGGAAATCAGCCGTGGGAGACGTACAAGGAGAACCAACGGGTAATGGTATTCAATGGAAAACGAAGCGGACTTGTGAAGATCGATGAACCGGATCGATGGAGGCGAGTCTTTCGAGAGCGGGGTGGATCAAAGACTGTACGGCGGTACAATCACAAGTTGATGGCACTTAACCATGACTCATTGCCCTAGGCGAACGGTTGTGAGTGCCCAAGTTATTGACCTCAAGCCTGAACGTAAAATAACTGAAGTCGTAGATAGCATCCGACTTCCTCAGGTACCATGTTAGAAAGCTGACAGCTTTGCCTAACACACCGAATCGAGATCGTACAACTCCTATGTTGACCACGCGTATGGCACGAAATATAAGTTTACTGATCAACGTCTGCCTTAGCCTCGTCACCCAACAACGTATTCATGATCAACGGCAGAACAGTAAGACTAGTGTGATAGGCTGTTACGTTGCAAAGTATGGAGAGTTGTGACACTATCCATCGAGGAGCTCCGACGAAGCCATGACTCTCTCATCTTGACAAGTTCGTGCTTACGTCGTAATATCCTTTACTCCTTGGATGGAGTTTTCATGGGCCCCCGGTGCTCAATTCGACTTCACTCATAGTCTCCTCGCTCGACGAGGACAAAGTAACTCAAGATAATGCATATATGTTGCATTCGACATTATTGAGTCAGGTATGGTGTATGACTGGACGTCAATACTGCCCCCCCCCCCCCCCCCC